AAAAGAAAAAATGTATGGTATTTACAACATATTGTCCCTTATTCTCTTAACCATTTATAACTCTTATGTCAACTCATGCTGACTCTTTACGATTCCATAACACTTCACACCAACCCAACAATTGTCTTTCCTTCCCTCATAACCCATACTAAAATTAAATAAAATTCTTAAGAATCTATTGAATGAATTTACAGAAGATTCATTTTAAAAAAAATTCAATATATTTAACTTCCTTTACTCCCTTATGAAAACAAGTGCTTGTTTTCATAGTTTCACTTGAAAGACTTTTGGAGCTATAAATAATACTGAACTGACAAACACCCCAATGTGATAAGCCGTGGAAATCAATCACAGCACCAATTCTTCAAAGATAACCCTAAGGTTTATTTCAACAAACACTTAAATAGTACATGGCCATTTTACATGGCAGTTCCATTTTTCAAATATTTAAAGAGGAGTAATTTTAAAAGCCATGGCAGCTCCTTTTGACCATTCCAATTAGCTTGGTAGTTTCTGAGTTTATGTATGTTTTAATGCAGAATCATGTTTACTGTTAACGTTCCCAAAGATTACCTTACTTTTCCAAGACGTGTCTTACAACCTTATTCAAATTGTCTCTACCTCCCCAAAGGGCTCTGGCAGCTATTGATCATCTGTATCACGTCTAAAGCACCCAAGTCATATTTTGGACACTCTACTATGAAAAACATGTTTGACTGAGGCAGCTGCACTTTAGCATTTGTAGTCCCCTTCATGAATGACAGATGAGAAAATTGAAACAGTAGTCATCAGTAAAATGGAAGGGACCAGGTTCAGGGGCAGAACTTGAGGGTTTGTGCTTTTGCCAACTAAATATAAACTTTAGCTCACTGTGCAACATTAAAACTGTTATAAACACATTAGGAGTTTTAATACATTTCATGGAAGAGTTAAAGTAAATACAGATTTAGGGTTAATTTACAAGCAACAGTGATATCCTTGTTCAAAATAAACAATTTTTCTTTTTACTTCAGTCTTTTCTCTGGTGAATTTCATCGCTGTGTATCTTTTGCTCTGGTAGTTTCCACTTGTTTTTTCATTGTCAATTTTTCTATTGAAACCCAGTTACAAGCTAGCAATCACCTCAAAGTATGTTGTCAGAATTGGTGAACATACTGGAGCATAAATTATTTTCAAGATTACCAGCTAAAGTAACAATTCAATAAAACCTCTACCTAATCTGCAAATAATTGAATATATTTCTAAATATAGAGGTGTTTCTATGACTACACCAGTGAATCCAGAACAGTGTGTTACCAAGGTTAAAATATTACTGAACAGAAGCAAAACACTCTGCTGGGGGAGGGTGAACAACCTGCAATCGTGGTGCATATTGGCACAATTGGCAGGCAGCAAGAGAGAATCTACTTTGTTAAAGCTAAGGAACTATAAAACAATTATACAAAGATTGTAATAGGGTTCTTAAATTATCTGAACAGAGACAATGATAGCAGTAGTGTAAAAAGCAGAAGCAGCAAGAGATCCTAGAGTGTTTTCAGGAATATGTTCTACAGTTGTATGCTTCTAGTTTAATGAGAAAGCAGGTGTTGCTTGACCTGGTTCTCAGGAATGCATTGGCCAAATGCATCAAAGCATCACTATTTGTGCATTTTGGGGCTAGTTTCTAATGTATTATAGTGATTTAGATAGGCTATGGAATAGTACAAAGAATTACCGAGAGTAAGAATAATTAGCTAGAGAAAAGCCAAATTGAGTATCTAGGCCAGATAAATTGAATATAAAGGCAGGTAAAATAAGGACCAGAACAATGGGCTACTTTCAAAGGAGAAATTGTTTGGGGGACACAGTCAAGGTATATTCAGACAAAAAGGAAAGGTAAGGAAAACAAACCTAGAGCTTGCTGGATGATGAAAAATACAGAAATTAAGATGGAACAGGAAATTTTTGCGTATGACAGGTGTTAGGTAGATAATACAATAGACAACCAGGCTGAATACAGAAGTAGAAACATAGAAATATTCAGAGGGGATTGTAAAAGCAAATATCAGAAGCAAGGAAAAGAAACTGGCAGTTTTGGACTTCTTTATTTGGAAAATAGCTCCAGCATATTCAGTCTCTCCTTATGGCTCAAACCCTCCAACCCTGGCAACATGCATGTAAATCTTTTCTGAGCCCTTTCAATTTTCACATCTTTCCTTTGCAGGGATACCAGAACTGAATGCTGTATTCCAAAAATGTCCTGTACAACTGCAGCATAACCTCCCAACTCCTATACACAATGGCCTTCTTCACTACCCAATCTACCTGCTATTCCACTTTCAAGAAACTATGAACCTCCAGCCCAAGATCTCTTTGTTCGGCAACACTCCTGAGACCTCACCATTAAGTGTGTAAGTCCTCCCCCGATTTGTCTTACTAAAATGCACATTAATGAAAAAAACTGAAATTGAGATCAACTCTAATGGTACCATGAAGTTAACTGAGCCTTTTCACTAATGGCCCTTAGGGAATCTGCAGTCATTGTTGCTCTGATCTGCAAGGACTGCAGACCCACAGCAATGTAATTGGCTGTAAACAGCCACTAAATGAACAAATGAATTAACTTTATGGTCACATATACTCAAATGAGCACAGTGAAAAGTTTCCAAGTAACCACTTATGGCCACATCTTAGGTACAAGACCCTAGGTATAGATTCTTCAGTACAAGTTCTTAGGGGGGAAAAAAAGAAAAATAAATAAAAAAATCCAGCACTATAGATCATAAAAATGAATTAGAAAATAGAGAAATAAAAAGATGACGACAGTCTTTCTAACCTAGTCAATGCTGGATGACAAATGCTGGCATTACTGGCAATGCCCAGAGCCCATGAAAGAATATAAAGATTAATGACCTGGGTCATGATGTACAGGACACAAGTTCAAAATTTGTAGATGAAAGCTAACTTGGAAACACTGAACTATGAGGAACCTCAAAAATAGATTGCCAAGTCAGCAGAATGGGAAAGGAGGTGGCAGTGAAGTTCAATGTGGCGAAATGTGAAGTGAACTTATTTGTTTCAAAGAACATGGAGACACAATATAAAAGGATACCACTCTAAAGAGAGGCAGTGGCAATGGAACCCAAGCGTATACATCTAAGTCATTAGAAGTGCAGGACAGGTTCTGAGAGTTGTTTTAAAAATAATACAATATTGTAGGCTTTATTAATAAGGGATAGAATACATGAGCAAGTTTAGACTGAAAGGTATAGACACTAGGGAACTTAGGGTAATAAATAGTGATGTCTTGAAACGTGTCCACGTTACAGAAGAGGAGGAGCTGGAAGTCTGAAAATGCATTAAGGTAGGTAAATCCCCGGGACCTAATGAAGTGTATCCCAGGTCTTTGTGGGAGGCTAGGGAGGAAATTGTGGGGCTCCTAACGGAGATACTTGTATCATCGACAGCCACAGGTGAAGTACCTGAAGATTGGAGCGGCTAATGTTGCGCCATTATTTAAAAAAGGCTGCAGGGAAATGCTTGGAAACTACAGACCAGTGAGCCTTACATCTGTGGTGTGTAAGTTGTTAGAGGGGATTCTGAGAGACAGGACTGACAGGCATTTGGAAAGGCAAGGACTCATTTGGGATTGTCAGCATGGGAAATCATGTCTCACGAATTTGATTGAGTTTTTTGAAGGGATTACCACGAAAGTAGACAGATGAGGGCAGTGCAGCAGACTTATGTGGTTTACACAGGCTTTTGTACTCCATTGCAGGTTGTTAAGTAAGGTTAAATCTCACGGGATCCACTGAGAGCTAGCCAATTGGATACAAAATTGGCTTGATGGTAGAAAACAAAGGGCGGTGGTAGAGGGTTGTTTTTCAGACTGGAAGCCTGGGACCAGCAGTGTTGCATTTGAATCAGTGCTGGATCCACTGTTATTCGTCATTTGTGTAAATGATTTGGATGAAAATTTAGGAGATATGGTTAGTAAGTTTGCAGATGACAGCAAGATTGATGGTATAGTGGACAGTGAAGGAGGTTATTTAGGAATGCAGCCAGATCTTGATCAACTGGGCCAGTGGACTGAGGAATGGCAAATGAGTTTAAATAAGATGGAGTGCAAGGTGTTGCATTTTGGTAAAGCAAACCAGGGTAGGATTTACACAGTCAATGGTAGGGCCCTGAGGAGTGTTACAGAACAGAGAGGTTTAGGGGTACAGGTTCATAGCTCCTTGAAAATGAAGTCAGAAGTCACACAACACCAAGCTTTCGTAACGCTACTCCTTTGTCAGGTGAAGGAGCAGCACTCCAAAAGCTCATGATTTCAAATAAACCTGTTGGATTATGACCTGGTGTTGTGTGACTTCTGACTTTGTCCACTCCAGTCCGACACTGGCACCTCCACATCTTGAAAATTAAGTCACGGGTATATAGGGCGGTGAAGAAGGCTTTCATCAGAGCACTGAGAATAGGAAATGGAACATCTTGTTTCAGCTGTACAAGACATTGTTGAGGCCAATACATACTCACATGGACCATGCCTTCTTCCTCTAACCCTTGATCCCCTTTCTATTCAAGAACTTATCTTTCTCTGTCTTAAATACACTCAATGAATTGGCCTCTACAGCATTTTGTGATAGAGAGGACAGTCATTGGGTCAAAAATCCCGTTAAACTCGAACTGCACTGCCCCTTACTTATATCACCGCAGCAGTTTAAAATTACCTTTTCAAGGTCAACAAATGCAGACCTGGTCAACAATGACCTTAGCCAAACAACTGATTAATAAAATTAAGATGTGCCACCTATATGAGTACTAACAGGCACTCTCTCTTAATTCTCACAAGTACCAATTCCCAGCGATCTTTCTTAAAGGTCCACTGGTCTCCACTGATTACTTTCCCAGTAATGGAGAGGGTTACGGTTCATATTCTGTCTGAGGAACTGCAGGTGTGAATAACATCCAGTCAATGTCTAATGCAACATACTCAAAGAACCACATTGTGCCCCACCATGTTAATTTGAAGCCAAGCAATTAGCATATTTATTTAAACATGATTCATTTTTACATTGTTATAGTGCAGCTGATACAAATTGTGAACATACATTTCAGAGGAAGGAATTGCAAAGTGTTACTTTCTGAATTTGGTGATCTATGAAGTCACCTTCTTAAAATACAGCATTTGGATGTCAAACCTAAATACAAGTGTAACAGGGAACTTAGATATGTAATACAGAAAATACATTGAATGTTAACTTTTTAGAAAATCCTTCCAGATTGATAAATTAACTATTTTTAAACAATGGAGTTAATCAAACATTTGAATTATGCTTACAGAATCAGACTTCTTTTAAATTACCAACAATTTTCCCGGGCCTACTTCCATAATTTTATTTGTTCTGTTGAAATAAATAGTGCCAAAGATCCTCATTTGGGGTCTGACCAGCTAAGTAGACATGAGGGAGCAGAATTAACAGGATTGATGCTTCATCTTCTTTGGGTTTATTACTATATCTTTAGTAACAATAATACAGCATAATCTACCTGAGTAAATCCATTTTATTCATTAACATCAAGACATCAGTACAGTGTTTGATTTTTCTTTAACTTAGAAACTGACAGACATGAAGTCAACATTTACTTAGGTGAGGTTTTTTTTTAAAAAAATCCACAAGTTATCAAAAATAAACTGTAGTGACTGAAAGATTTCAATTAGTTTGGAATTTGTACCTATAAATCAAACTGTAAAATGCAAGAAAAGTCTTTTTTAAAATTTTGTTGCTTCTTTTTCTGTTGCTCAAGTCATTCGCAATTTGCAGATTTTCTGTTCAATTCTTACATGTTTGTGCATACTCTGGAGATTGTCATTTCAGAGAATGATGACCACAATCCCACAATGCAACTTAGTTTTCAAGATGAGGTGGAAATCCACTAAATTTTAAACACAGTCATGGAGATATTTTGGCCAATTGTAAACTTTTGTCCAAAGGATACTTTCTAAATTACAATACTAAAAGATAGGGTCCATACTAATGACATTTCTATAAATATATAACTCATTAGTTTTTGTCCACAATAAAAAATAAACATCAATTTTCATATCTTGCAGTAAACATTTTGGTAGAAAGGAAGAAGTTACAATGTTCAATTTTATTGAACTTGCCCAAAACTTACAATTTGCACTTCAAGTATAACATTAATTCAAAATCATACTTGGATATCATTTGCACTACTTATGAAAATGTTGATTAGATATCTCTAATCTAGATTCAAATCTATATTATTAAATCAAAAATATACAGTGCAATTAAATTTTTTAAGTCTTCCACTTCACAGCCAAAACAAGATTTTTAAAATTTTATTTTAAATCACATGATTAGGAAAGGCTATCTTGAATTTTAATGAACGAGTATAACAGGAAAAAATATGCAAAGAAAAGACTTCAGTATTGCAGAACAGCCAAGTCATAACTATCAGAAGTGTGACCACTAAATTTTACAATCTGTTGGAACCAATTAATCTGTAAATGGATTACACAAGCATACAAAAGTGAAGCAAACTCTGTCCAGAAAATGGCCTTTGGCAATGTTGAAATCTAATTTAGAAAAATAATGAAAGGTGTTGTATTAAGGTTAAGACATTCAAGGCATCTAGGAGCCAGCATATACATTACGTGACAATAAGTGTCATTTGGTCAATCAGACCTGGTGAGCAACTCAATTTAGGATTCTACCACAAATTTAATCTTAGATACTGAATGCTAGTACAACGGGTGCTTCTGTGCACCTTCTACAGGACTAAAGACATGTAACCATACATTTGCAAGGGACCAGCCTCGCAATTAGTTCACAGAACCAACAATTCTACATCATTGTTACTATAAAGGGTACTCTGTTAACTCTTAGTCGAGACAGAAAGATATTTATGGCTTTCAGTAGTTTAAAAACACGGCCTACTTAGCACAGAGTTCTCTGAAATCAGTCTAGGTAATCCAGTGATTCAACTAAAATTTGGGAGCTGTGCAAAAATATTGGAAACACTAAAGTTTCTAACTTGATACTTGGCAAAATGTGACCCTTTTACTTAATCTAATTGGTTTTCAAGGTGGAAAATACATGTCTTTAAGGATCTCTATGCAACATAAATGACTCAAATTGGCCTCAAAATAAACAGGAAAAAAAGCAAACAAAACCCTGAGCAGTTTGGGATTTTATTCTCCCATACTTTACTTCTCATTAAACGTTCGAGCATAAGGATAAATTATTTTGAGATGAAAATAACTAAATTAACTCCTGAAATTACATGGTTAATAAAATGTGGGGTTGGTACAAGTGAAAAAACCCAATCAGGATGAAACATATATTTGGGTTCTCCACAAGTTTTATACCATTGGCCAAATCAAACCCTGCTGAGTCAACCTGAACCGCTAATTCTTTTTCATTTTTGTAATAATTTTCTTCCCTTCTCTCCTGAAATAACTGATTTCTCAAGAGACCATTGTACAGTCCAGCCTACAAAATTGAGAGCTTGGAGGGTACTTGGCCCTGGAGACAGACATGATTCTGCATAGCAGACTAAACTTTGCCACTTCAACGTATCAAGGGAGGCTTTCAATTTTAAGTAACCAAGTCCAAGCATTCATGTTTTTGCTGTTGTTGCCCAATGCTTAATTACTGCACACATCTAGTGATCCAAAGTTTGGTTTTAGATTTTAGTCACCGGAATTTCATTGAAACAAAAATTAAGGCAAAAATCTTAACTTCAGAAACTTCACCTCCCTGATCCAAACTATCAGAACATCTTTTACGCAATTTTAGATGAGCACACGGTAAAATTAACTACAACCTATGCTTGATTATTCGCTTTGAAATTCAAACCAATGATCGAGGTGAATAGGTGCAAGAGCCATGAGGTACTGTCATTCCCAGTCCCTTTCAGTGATACTTTCTGAAGAACCCAAATATTATAGTAAAATGAAAATGCAGAAATCATTTAGCAAACGTGCAAAGTAACATAGTTCGTTACCTGTGGGAAGGGGGTGGGGTAGGTAGATGGGGGCAGGGAAGGAGACAAAACACCCCTCTATCTAGCAAAGTTCAAGAAATAGTCTAAAAACTATCCTGGAAAAATTAGCTCTACACACAAAAAAATCCCCTTGAATTTTTATCTGAATTTAGATCTTCTTCCATCCCCAGACTGCTTTAAGGCAATTCATACAGCTCTATGGAAAGCCAGCGACTACAAAATCAGAAACAACTTGAATAGTCTGAGCTAATGAGGCTACACATTCAGTTGTGGGAAGTATCACTATTGAGTTTTGCCCTAGTACATCAGTGAAAAATCTAGTTACAATTGTTGTCAAGAGTAGGAGCAGCATCCCTGACCTATTAAAACTAGAGGCTCTGAACAGAGACGCAGTAACCTATCCGGTTGAAGATTTCCCAATTCAGCATTGACTTCAGATTGAATCCGAAGTCTTCAAGTTGCATTATTCTGATAGACCTAGAATTCTATTACCAAGCAATGTCTATTGTTTGTCATTTGGATAAGGAAACAGAATTTAACAGTGCAAATACAGGGAGCTGACACAAATGCCAGGATAAAAGAACTGGAGCTAAAAGGTTAATGACAATATAAAAATGACAGAGATATAGTCCTGTCTCCCATAACTCTAACCTACTGGAGCTGTGCACATGTAAGCTACACACTAGACAGCCTGGCACAGTTAGAAGGGGCGAGTACAATGTTAGCATTCCTTTCAAGAGGGCCAAAATACCACAGCAGACATACAGCTGAGGCTGTATGAGATTCTGGTCAGACCATATATGGAATATTGAGATTTTTGGGCCCCTTATCTAAGCAAGGACATGCTGGCCTTTGAGAGGGTCCAGAAGAAGTTTACAAGAATGTTTCTGCAATGGAGATCTTGTCATATAATGAGGGGTTGAGGACTCTGGGTCTGTAATGGACAGAGTTTAGAAGGATGAGGGTATTTGATTGAAACTTACAGAACACTGAAGGACATGGAAATGATATTTCCAATAGGAGAGACTAGGACCAGAGGGCACAGCCTCAGAGTGAAGGGACGCTCCTTTACAACTGAGACGAGGAGGGTTTTCTTTAGCTAGAGGGTGGTTAATCTGTGTAACCGTGTTACAATCTGTGACTGCCACAGAGGGCTTTGGAGGCCAAGTCATCGAGTGTATTTAAGGCAGAGTTAGATAGGTTCTTGATTAGTAAGGGGATCAAGCGTTATAGGGAGAATGCGGGAGAATGCAGGAGAATGGGGTTGAGAAACATATTAACCATGATTGAATGGTGGAGCGGCCCCAATGGGCTGAATGGCCTAATTCTGCGCCTACATCTTAAGGTCTAAGTGCAAGATTGCTTCATGGATCTCATCCATCTTTTCTTGCCCAAGTGGAGTTGTATTCAAACCATGGAACTGAGTGTAGAAATATATTACCCGTTTTACTTTGCGTACACAAAACCATTTTGCAATTTGTATTATTACAAATGCAATTCTGTAAATTGATCAGCATTGGGAGGGTCTTGGTGTACTACTTTTAAAAGAAGTTAACAGAAAATCTGAAAGAACAAATTCACCAGGCAGTTTTTTTGTTTAGAACTTCTCATGCTCAGTCACACCAACAAAATTCCCAATGTCAATGTAATTAGAAGACAGCACTTCAGCCAAGCACAGAACAAAAGATGGAGAAATATCCAGCATTGCTTTCACAGCATCAGACAGGTTCCACGCAAGTGACATTTTCGTAGACTCAATTATATGGCAAGTAAGCTTCTTTTAGTCAATTTTCTTGCAGTTTTGATATAGTGCAATACGTGGCTATGTCAATGCCAAAAAGAGAAAGCAAAGTCTAGGAGTCAGTACAGCAAGATAGCATCTCTTGTCCCACAATAAAGGCTATTCTGAGAACATGTGAGACAGAACAAAACAGCAACTGCAAAACTAGACAAAATATGTGGCTGACTAATTACCAGGGTTTTCAATGGACAATGATCTGGTTTAATTGCAACAAGATAATATATAAATTCAGCAGTATAAATTATTTAGAACAAATAGAAGCTTTCAATACATTATTTCTAAAGTAACATTTTAACAAAAGAATTCTTGGAAAATTATTTAACCCATTCACTACTGGATTTACATAACCAACCTTAAATTACTGACATACAGGGTATTCAAATTATTACTCCATAAATAATTGAGTGCTAAATGTTCTAAAGATGCTAACATAAGTACAGATTTTTTGTCTACTGTCAGTACTCTCTGAACCACTCCCTCAAAGCAAATGTTATATTTTGGTGCAAAATATTTCATTCCTCAAAGGATTAATGCACAATGTATTGACTTCTAGAAAAGGGAGTTGCCTTTTAGATAAGTGGGCTATCTTGCATGGAATAAGAAATTGGAAATTTAAAAAAAAATCCATGTCCTTCTTCAACTGAAGTCACAACTTGTCCATTTATAGTATAACATTTTCTTCATTTATCCTGATCACTTAACATTTATTCAAGTTTGAAATGTCACCCAAAGCATCAACGCATCTGTTCACATTGGTTCCTGAAGTCCCCAAATTCTGTCTGCAATTGCGATCCATCAACTTCCATGTTTTCTTCACTGCCTATTTCCAAGAACTTCCTCTATTTAACATAATGATGCAGCAATGCTGCTGTAAACAGTTGACAGCATTTAACTTGGTTTATCCTAGAAAAGGACTTTGCCCCAGAGTAAAATTTATTCTTAACTGATCGTGCAACTGCAGCTGAAGATGATGCTGCTCAGGGTAGCAAACAGTCATTATCATGCTGGTGCTAGGGCATTTGAAGTGCTACCTGAAAGAAAAAGAATTTTTTTTTAAACTCAAATGCAAATAGACCTTTAATGTGAACTTTATACATCTCAAAAGATCCTAATATTTTCTAAATTTAGGATAATACACACTAATTGTTTCAGGTTTGTCAAAAGGAGCTATGGTAGCTGAGTTAAGCCTTACTCATCCAACACTATATTCTCATGCACTGATATTAGCCACTTATGCTCCAGCATATTATAGAATCTATTTCCAAATCATCAAATACATCTATTACTTTGTTCATGCTATTGCTCCAACCTAGTCCAAAATTGCATTTGCTCTATATTCCTCACTTCTCAGACTTTGGCCTTTATGCATTCTCCCTTCCCTGCATTGAACTTCAACTGCCTAAGTTGTACTCTCTGAAAAACACCACACAAATTCCTTTACTATGCGATTCCTTACTCTACCTTTAAAAACATCCTCAACATTTTTTTTCACCAAGTTTTCTTATCCATCCAAATTCTCAATCCATTTTGTTTCATTTATCATTTCTTCACCTTTTCATTGAAAGCATGCTAGAAAATGTTACATGATAAAGAGACAATACATTCAAGATAAATATTAAATAAATCTTTTAATGTCTTTCATATTTAGAGATGATGCAAATAAATGGTTATAAAAATTTATCGTTGTCACTTAAATAGCTGTTTCATAGGTCATCATTGGACTCTCAATTCCAGATGTTACTGAATTCAAATTCCATCATCTATAATGGTGGAATTCAAACCCAAATCTCCAGAACATTATCTGGGTCTTTGGATTAATAGTCTAGCTATAATAATACTAGGCCATCGCCTCTCCCTGGTTTTCTTGCAATTTTAGTCCAAGGACTGCAAGATGAAACACTTCAACAGCATGCATCTTTTTTCATGAATGCTCAATTTCTATACTACCAAGCAAACACTTCACAGATTATTAAATTGTAGACAAAATAGATATCCTGTTGATAGGTGGGATGGACAGGCCAAATATTTACTCCTGCTCAAAACTGTTACTTTGTGTACTTTACAAATTTCTTTTTGAATCTGACATGGTGTGCTCAGTGCTGTATTGGGTGTCTAAAGGGTTCTGCAAACCCAGGCAGTTTTATTCTCTGTGAATCACATGACCCTCTGTTTATATGAATTCATGAGCAACTTGAAGAAAATAAGCCTACAATTTTTTATTATACATGATAATCTTTAAATGAATTTAAACTTTTTCGTTTTCTCATATGAAACTGATGGACCGAAAAATGAACGTGACAAATTAATGTAAAAAGAGAAAAATAAAAAGATGATACAAGACCTCAGGGTGTACCTGAAGTTGGAGCTGAGAGCTCTTGTTTCTCAGGCTCTGGAGGTGGATTTGGCACAACATCCTCTTTCATTTCTGTAGCCATAAATTCATGGACCGCCTTCTCTATCTGTGGTTTGAAAATGTGATACAGCTTTGGATCCACTACCTGAGAAATAATTCTGTCAACGCCCGATTCCAACATGCCTGATCTGAGGTATAAATTAAGATAAAATGATTTAGTGCCCGCTTTTCAGTTAAGGTAATTCCTTAGAACAGAGCCATGTTAATTTTTCACACTGCATTAAAAGGGGCTACAAGTATAATTTGCATGCATCGTATGAAAATTCCTAACTTTAACACCTCATTCTGAAAGTAAAATTGAAATTAATAGTTGTAAAAATGTTCCTGTGAATATGGTTATATAAAGAAACTACAGAAATAAATTTTAGCGATCACAAGACAGTGGACATTTTTGTAAGCTAAAAACAATTTTTTTTTCAGTGGCATGTGCTTATTTGTTACCAATGAAAATGTTCTGCTTGTATCAAAAGGTTTAAATCCAACTTGCTGCAGTGAATCTTGTATTAGAAATGACACAAAGTACTTGTACAACTGCATTAGAGGCTTCAATTAATACTTGTGACAATTCCATTTATTCCTTCATACAATCAAATAGAAAAAAAATTCAAGAGACAGAAGCCTGTATAATTAATATCGAAGGCACATTGGGGAAGTTAAGGAAAAATTAGTTTGCTCAACTTTTTTTTTATTAAAAATGCTTAGTTCAATAATTAATAAATATTCAAGTTAAGAAAGATCACAAAAAGAGCCAAAGAGAAAGATTATAACATGCACAAATAAATCCTTTCCTATTTGAATCAGAGAGAAGATACAGTGAAAATACCACGTTTGTTACTGAGGTCACAATATGTTTTACACATTAATTTAGAAATATTATTTAGTCATACAGCAATGGAAAACAGACCCTGCGGTCCAATTAGTCCATGCCAACCGTGTTCCTAAACTGAGCTTGTCTAACTTGCCTGCATTTGGCCCAGATCCCTCCAAACCTTCTCTATTCATGTACTTATCCAATGTCCTTTAAATGTTGTAACTGTACCACTTCCTTTTGCAGCTCATTCTTCACACAAACCTCACTGTGAAGAAAGTTATCCTTCATGTTCTTTTTAAAAACTCTCCTCTCACCTTAAAAATATGCCCCCTAGTTTTGAACTCCCCCACCATAGGGAGAAGACCCTTTCCATTCACCTAATCTATGCCCCTCATAATTTCATAAACCTCTATAAGGTCATCCCATAATCTCCCATGCTCCAGTGAAAAATGTCCCAGTCTACCCAACATATTTTTATAACTCAAACCCTCCATTCCCAGTAACATCCTGATAACTCTTTTCTGAACCCTCTCTGATTGAATAATATCCTTCCCACAGCAGGGCGATAAGAAGTGCTCCAGAAGAGGTCTCACCAACATCCTGTACAACCTCAACATGGCGTTCCCAACTCCTATACTCAAAGGTCTGAGCAATGAAGTGTGCCAAACACCTTCTTAACCACTTGTCTACCTGTGATGCAAATTTCAAAGAATTATGTACCTGAACCCCTAGGTCTCTCTGCTCTACAAGAGTACCCAGGGCCCTATCATTAAGTGTATAAGTCCTGCCCTTTTTTGTTTTACCAAAATACAATATCTCGCATTTATCCAAATTAAACTCCATTTGCCACTCTTCAACCCAGTGACTTAATTGATCAACATCTCTTTGTAATCTTAGATAATCTTCTTCATTGTCCACAATATGACCAATTTTAGGGTCATCCACAACCTTACGAGCTATGCCTCCTATATCCTCAACTAAATCATTTATATAAATAACAAACAGAAGTGGACCCAGTACCAATCACCGCTGGTCACAGGCTTCCAGTCCAAGAAACAATCCTCCATCACCACCCATAGTCTTCTTCCGCAGACTACTGCACTTTCACAAAGATAATAATTAAGTTCACAAACACAAAGACAGTGATTGCAATGTAGACAACGTAACAAACCTACTTGCTAACACTTCTACGAGCAATACTCAAAAACTGTCAAAACAGTGAAAGTAAAGAAGAGAGAAAAAGATGTTTAAGATTGTCAACTATTTTTATAAAGGATGAGAAATTATTTTTCAGTAATGATTTCAAAACCAGGATTTGTAAACTAATGGACACTAAAATTATTATAGCCAAGTTATTTTGTTGGTAATTAGTGTAAAGCACTACCTGCCCTTATTTCATTTATCCCAGACTACTGTTATTAAACTTTCAGAGAAATCCAACAATGAAGCAAAATCTTTCAATATAGGTAGCCCGTTAAACTTAATACTATTGTTAGCAACCTTTTTACTTGCCTTAGGTATAAGGCTGATTAAAACAGGTTAATTTGCAAGCTTAAATGGGAGAACATTTGTAAAGAGGTTAGTTTATAAACAATCCACAGGCTATTAACTGAAGCATGTAACTATCCCCTAAGATTCAGTAACACTTCACTGACCATAAGCTTCTAAACATAAAATACTAAAATGTATGCATATGTATGTTCTTTCAACTTTAAAAGTTCTAAAGGTTGTATGCTTTAGCAAAAAAGGGTTAGTTTTAGATCAAAGAAAACTGCTTCTCTACATCTGTCTTTTCAAATATTTTCAATATTTTAAACAGCCCAATTAGCCCTCAATCTTTTATATTCAAGGACCACAACAAATATTCGTATAGCACCTTTAATGTATTAAAATGACTTGAGAGCTGCCCCTTCAAGGCATTATTAAACAAAAAAAAAGACACTGAAACAAGAGAATATTAGGACTGAGGACTAAAACCTATAGCTTTAGCCAAGCATTTGGAAAGTGTCTTAAAGGAGGAAAGGAATTTCAGAGCACAGGGTGTAGGCAACTGACAGTATAACCATCAATGATTCAGCAATTAAAGTATTTGAATGCTCAAAAGTCTGGAATTAGAGGGGCTCAGATGTCTTGGAGGGCTGAAGGAAATTAGAGATAAGGAATAGCAAGGTCCTGGATGGTATTCAAAACAAAGATGATGGGAATGCAAGCACACAGGATGACACAGAGTCTACAGAGGGATATAGATATAGGTTAAGCAAGTGGGCAATAACTTGGTAGATGGAATATACTGTGGGCAAATGTGAAGTTCTGCACTTTGGCAGAAAGAATACAGGAATTGAATATGATTTAAATTGATGACAACAGAAATTTACAGGACAGAGGCATGTAGGAGTCCTGGTGCATGAATCTCATAAGAAAGCTTATAAGTTCGGCAGGTGACAGGAAAGGCAAATGGAATGTTGGCCTTTATTTCAAAGGAAATGGAGTATAAAAATAGGGAAGGCTTGCTAAAACTAACTGGAATAATCTAAATAATTTTGAGCCTGTTACCTAAGGAAAGATATAGTGAAATTGGAGGCAGTCCAGAGTAGGTTCACTAGGCTGATCCCAGCTGTGGAGAGACTGTCTTACAAGAGAAGTTGAGTAGGTTGGGCATGGACTCATTGGAGTTTATGAGAATGAGATATGAACTTATTGAAACCTTCTTAGGGGTTTGACAGGTTAAATGTAGAAGGGTTGTTTCCCCTTGCGGGAGACTATAGGATCAGACGGCATCATCTCAAAATAAGGACTTGCTCTTTTAAAGCAAAGATGAGAAATTATTCTCTCAGACATTTGTGAATGTGGAACTCTTTACCACTAAGGGCTATGGTCCTTAAGCATTTTTGAGGACAAGATAGACAGTAAAGAAATCATAGGCTATGGGGAAAAGGCAGGAAAATGGAGATGAGGATTACCAGATTAGCAATATTCTCATTGAATGAACAGCAGACTCAAAAGGGTGAATGGCCTGCTTTTACTCCGTATGATCTAATGAGAATTTTAAAAATTGTCTTATCACGAGCCACTGTAGCACTGCGGTGATTAGTGCAAGCTGGACATGGGAGGAAGTTTTAGATTAGCTTAATATGACACACAAGTCTATTAGACTAATCAAGCATGGAGGTAACAAAAGGATGGAAAAGCATTTCAGCAGAAAAGCTGAGGCAGGGTGGAGATGGATGACGTTAAGGAGGTACAAATAAGAGCCTCGGTGTCAGAATGGACTCATATTTACAGTGCAGGAGGCCATTCAGTCCACTGTGTCTGTGTGGGTCAATGAATCTGACTACACAAATCCCATTTTCCAGCTTTTGGCCCATAGCCCTAGAGGCTGTGGCAACACAAGTGAATACCTTAAATATTGCTTGCATGTGCCAAGTGCTTCTGACTCAATCATCCTTTCAAACAATGAGTTCCAGATCTCACCATCCTCTGTGAAGACATTCTCAACTCTCCTCTTAGCTTTTCACCTCTTACCTTTAATCTATGCCACTGGTTATTTATTGGTCTACGAATGGAAAAAAGTGCCTTCCTATCCACACACTTCATAATTTATACGCCTCTCTCAGGCCCAGGTTCAACCTTCACTGCTCTGAGGAAAGCAACCCCTGCCTATCCAATCTATCTTCGTACTCAGATCACAGCCAGTGCAAGCAGCATTCTGATAAGTCACAAAAACAAAGTTTCTAAAAAAGCTCAGCAGGTCTGACAGCATCTGTAAAGGAATGAGTTCTGAGGAAGGGTCACCGGACCTGAAACGTTAACTCTGTTTTCTCCTTCACAGATGCTGCCGGACCTGCTGAGCTTTTCCAGCAACTTTGTTTTTGTTCCTGATTTACAGCATCTGCAGTTCTTTCGGTTTTTATTCTGATAAGTCACCCCTGCAGCCCCTCTTGAGCGATTACATCCTTCTTATAATAGACCAGAACTGCACACAATACTTAGCTTGTGGCCAAATCAGCATTTTCTACGATTCCAGCATAACCTTGCTCTTGTATTGTGTGTTTCAGCTATTAAAGTCAAGTATCCCATATACAACAACAATAACAACAACAAAAACGAAAGTTGTTGGAAAGCTCAGCAGGTCTGGCAGCATCTGTGAAAGAAAAAACAGAGTTAACGTTTCGGGCCCGGTGACCCTTCTTCAGACTGATGGTGGCTGGGAAAACGTCAGTTTATATGCAGAAAATAGGGAGGTGGGTGGGGTAGGGAGTAAACAATAGGATAGGGCCCAAAGAGAGAGAAAGACAGTTGGACAGACAAAGGAGTTGCTAACGATCAGGTTGGGAGGGTGAATAGTTGTTAATGGGGACTGTTGGTGACTAACAACAGCGGGTGTGTAATGGTAGGCTATGTGGTAACAAGGCCTGGTATGTGGGGTAGGGGGCTGGGACATGGCAGAGTTAGGCCCTAAAATGATTGAACTCAATATTGAGTCCAGAGGGCTGCAGGGTCCCCAAGCGGAAAATGAGGTGTTGTTCCTCCAGCTTGCGTTGGGCTTCTCTGCAACACTGCAGCAAGCCAGAGACAGATGTTGGCCAGGGAGCAGGGTAGTGCGTTAAAGTGGCAGGCAACAGGTAGTTCAGGGTCTTTTTTGCGAGCAGAACCTAGATGTTCTGCGAAGCGGTCGCCAAGTCTACATTTCATTTCTGCAATGTAGAGGAGACCACACTGTGAGCAGCAAATGCAGTAGACCAGATTCTGGGAAGTGCAGGTGAAGTGTTGCTTCACCTGGAACGTATGTTTGGGCCCTTGGATACTGGGGAGGGAGGAGGTAAATGGGCAGGTGTTGCACCTTCGCCGGTCACAGGGGAAGGTGCCATAGGGCTGTGGGGAGGTGTTGGGGGTGAAGGAAGTGTGGTCCAGGGTGTCCCGGAGGGAACAGTCCCTGCGGAAGGCAGACAAGGGAGGGGACGATAATATGTGTCTGGTGGTGGCATCTCACTGGAGGTGGCAGAAATGGCATCTGGTGGGATGCTAGGTGAGGATAAGGGGAACCCTATCACTGTTGGGGGAGGGAAGAGAAGGGGTGAGGGCGGAAGTGCGGGAGATAGGTCAGACCTGATTGAGTACCTTGTTGACAACAAAGGTGGGGAATCCTCGGTTGAGGAAGAAGGTGGACATTTCGGAGGCTCCCTTGTCGAAGTTGGCCTCATCTGAACATATGCGACGGAGACGGAGGAATTGAGAGAATCGGATGGAGTCTTTACAGGAAGCAGGGTGTATAGTCCAGATAGCTGTGAGAGTCAGTGGATTTGTAATGGATATTAGTGGCCAGTCTATCCCCAGAAATTGAAACAGAAATGTCAAGGAAGGGAAGGGAGGAGTCAGAGATAGACCAGGTGAAAGTGAGGGCAGGGTGGAAATTGGAGGCGAAATTGATGAAGTTTTCCAATTCCAGACGAGATAGGGAAGCAGCACCATTGATATCATCAATGTATCGGAGAAAGAGTTGTGGGTGGGGGCCAGAATAGGACTGAAACAAGGAATGTTCCACGTACCCCACGAAGAGACAGGCATAACTAGGTCCCATGCGGGTACCCATGGCAACCCCTCTTATCTGAAGAAAATGAAAGGAGTTGGAAGAGAAGTTGTTGAGGATGAGGTCAAGCTCAGCCAAGCGGAGGAGGGTGGTGGTGGGTGGGGATGGTTCAGGTCTTTGCTCCAGGAAGAAGCGGAGAGCCCTAAGACCCTCCTGGTGGGGAACAGGCATGTAAAGGGATTGCATGTCCATGGTAAAGAGGCGGCAGCTGGAACCGGTAAACTGGAAGTTTTGAACCGACGTAAGGCGTCAGAGCAATCATGGATATACGTAGGTAGGGATTGGACCAGCGGGAGAAGACCGAGTCAAGGTAGGAAGAGATGAGTTCTGTAACCTTTTTTATTACTTAATCTACCTGCCTTGCTACCTTCAAGGGTCTGTGGATATGCACATCAAGGTCCCTTTGATCTTCAGTAGTTTGGAGGGTCCGACTGTTTATTCTGTAATTACTTCCCTTGTTAAGCCTGTCGGAGAACATTACCTCACACTTTTCTGCATTGAATTGTGTTCACTACTGCTCTGTCCAGCCGATAATTGATATTCTCCTGCAGTTTACAGCTAATCCTCTTCATTCAGTTTTTCTGTCATGTGTGAACTTCCTGATCATATCCCCTACATCTAAGTTCAAATAATTCATGTACATCACATACAGCAAGTGTCTTGGCACAAGCCTTGCAGAACTGCAATGGAAACAGACTTTCAGTCACAGAAGCATTCCTCTACTGCTCCCCTCTGCTTTCTGGCATTCAGCCAAATGGTTTCCATGGACTCACTTTCTGGACCAGTCTGCTCCAAGGGACATGATTAGAAGCCTTTCTAAAGTCCATGCAGATCACATCAAACGATTTACCCTCATCAACATTTCTCATTTCCTCCTCAAAATTGTGATCAAACACAATTTTCGTTGAACCAATCCATGCTGTCAACTATTCCTGATTAATCAGCGTTCTCCAGATGGAGATATTGTCTCGGTTCCCCACAATTCTTCCTAATAATTATCCATTACTGATGTTAGACTGCTTTAAATGAGAGGCAAGAAGTGTGGAATAAGAAGAGAGGTTCTACGGGAAGAGAAAGCGCTACAGAAAGAGAAAGTGTGTGTACAAGGTCAGCAATAAGAACATTGGACAAGAAGGAGATTGACAAGATCACCCTCTAGCCAGTGCACTGATTAGGAAAGTTAGTGAAGACTCAGATAGGGCAGCTGGGGTTGCTGATCAAAAATAGACAATAACAATTGTTTCAGTGCTTTGGAGAAAATTGAGTTATAGAGGGAAGTTGTAGGTTTATCTAAGAGGGGGTCACAGAGTAGAGTCACACAGACCCTTTGGTCTGTTTCATCCACACCAACCAGACATCTGACTTAGTCTCATTTGCCAGCATTTGGCCCATATCCCTCTTAATCCCTTCTTATTCATATATCCATCCAGATGCCTTTTAGATGTTGTAATTGTGCTCACCTCCACCACTTCCTCTGGCAGCTCTTTCCACACACGCACCACCCTCTGCGTGAAAAAGTTACCCCTCAGGTCCTTTGTAAATCATTCCTCCCTCACCTTAAACTAATACCCTCTAGTTTTGGACTTCCCCACCTTACCAAGGTCTTTTTCCTATTCACCCTATCCATGCCCCTCACTATCTTATAAACCTCTGTAAAGGTCACGCCTCAGCCTCTGACGCTCCAACGACAAAACGTACCAGCCTATTCAGCCTCTCCCCACAACTCAAACCCTCCTGTCCTGGCAAGATCCTTGTAAATCTTTTCTGCATCCTCCCAAGGTCAATATCTTTCCTATTGAAAGGCACCTAGAATTGTATGCAGTATTCTAAAAAGGGGCCTCACCAATGCCATGATGCCCCAGCTTCCATACCCAATGTTCTGACCAATGAAGGCAGGCATACTAAACGCCTTCTTCACCAACCTATCTGCCCACGACTCCACTTTCAAGGAAGTATGCACCTGCACTCCAGGTCTCTTCATTCGACAACACTCTCCTGGGCCCTACCATTAACTGTACAAGTCCTGCCCAGCTTGCCTTATAAAAAGGGAACACCTCACATTTATCTAAACTAAACTCCACCTGAGAATCATTGGCCCGTTGGCCCATCTGATAAGGTCACACTGTACTCCAAGATAACCTTCCTTCACTACCCACTACACCATCTATTTTGGTGTCATCTGAAACTTACTAACCAAGTTTCCTATATTCACATCCAAATCATTTATCTAAATGACAAAAAGCAGTGAACCCAGCATCAATCCTTGTGGCAATCTAGCACAACAGCAAAGCAGCATGAAGTTTGAGAACTACTGAAGAATTATTGCAGAGATTTGGGTAAAAGATTACCCGAGAGGGGAGAAATTAGACAGAGGCACAGCAATAGAACAGTGGGGTGAAAATATAATGTAAAGTCATGTTTATGCAACTATGCTAATACGTTGAAAACCTCAGTATCTTGGTGAATCTACATTGCACGGCCATCAAGTCAAACCTATGCCTCTTAAGGTACTTTGTCCAAAACTGAACAGTAATCTACAAAGCATCTAACCAGTTACTTTTAAAATCTAGTGCTAAAAAATTCTGTCACTAAAAGTAATACTGTAGTAAAACCCCAATAAAATAATTTGGGTCATAAACTGAACAGAAAAGCTGCATTTCAACATTTGATGGAAATGCAAATCAGAGAGTACAAAAACTTCTAGACTAAGGGATAAAAGCATTGAAGCTGTAAAAGTATTTAAATAAAAAGCGTACTCACTTACAGACCCTCTGTCGAAGTTCATTACGCAGCTGATTTTTGTTAAGGCTTGGATTCCACTCGTGATTAGCCAAGTGATTGGACACAAAATTGTCAACTCTCTGTCTAAGATTCTGATAGGCTGGCTGTAAATATTAACAAAGGATTAAAATAAGGCAAATAAATTTTAACAATTTAAAAGTAGTGAACAATACCTTTTCTAACTTGAACATAATCAAAATCTAATTTATATTTACTTCATACAAATAGCACATTTTTTGAGCAGCACATTACTATACATGGACACTAATTCACTGACCCATGGTCAGTGCATCGTTTGAACTAACAACTTCAGCTGGGTCACAAAATCTTAGAAAAGTGGGCAAACCTTCTCACTTACCACCTCCAAAACAACTAAATAGAAGGTGTCCAAAATCAAGTAATATAGTTATCTCCTCAGCCACACAAGAAGGTAATGCAGAAGTGGAATGAAAATTACAAAATAAAAGACTGCAGAAGGACGGTCGAGAATAACAGCCTACAATCATCTTGGGAGAAAAAGAATTATAAATTCACCTCAAAGCTTCCTCAACAGGTCCATTAACTCTGGAACATTTCTAAATACTAGTAACCCTCAGTTTTGCCTTCACACTATAAAGTTAATGGGCCTACAGTCTGAGCGTCAGGAGGAGATTAATATTATGTTGTTTCCCACTCACGTCCTCTCCAATTCTCTAACTCTCCAACTTACCAGCACCTGAATTGCAGCTTCTCCTGCCTCTCCCCAATCTAATCCATTGCCAAAGTTCCAATGAGAAGTGTCACAAAGAGGAAAGAACAATGGTCATAAAAGTATTTAATTGGTTATTAACAGCTACAGTACATATGCAGGAACACTACTGCTTAAAGAAATTGAGACAATGATGCAGGAATCCCTGCAAATTACAGTAAATTGCAGTTGCTACAGCTTCAGCCATAGTGGAACAAAGAAATGAAGTTATGAGATGGTACTGAAGACGACCAAGGCCCATTATCTTTCGCAAATTCTAAGTAGAAAGCTACATACAACATGGAAATAGACCCTTCAGTCCAAGCAGTCCATGCCGACCGTAATCACAAATTAAACTAGTTCCATCTGCCTACACTTGGCCCATATCCCTCCAAACATTTCGTACTTATGTACTTATCCAAATATCTTTTAAATGTTGTAACTGTACCCAATCCACTATTCCCCTGGAAGTTCACTCTATACACGGACCAACCTGTGCAAAAAAAGTGCCCTTGTGTCTTTATTAAATCTTTCTCCTCTCTCAAAAATATGCTCCCACAGTCTTGAAATGCCCCACCCTTGGGAAAAGACACCTGCCATTCATCTTATCTATATCCACTTATCTATATCCTCATCATGATTTTATAAACTTCTGTAAGATTACTTCTCAACCTCTTCCGTGCCCATGAAAAAAAGTGCCAGCCAATCCAGCCTCTCCTTAGAACTCAAACCTTCCATTTCCAGCAAAATGCTTGTAAATCACTTCTGAACCCTCTCCAGCTTAATAACATCTTTCCTACAACAGGACGACCAGAACAGGACACAGTATTCTAGAAGAGGCCTCATCAAAGTCCTGTGCAACCTCAAGACAACATCCCAACTCCTATACTCAAAGTGCTGAGCAAAGAAGGCAAGTGTGCTGAATGCTTTCTTAAAAATATTTTTACTCGCCCCACATCCACCTAAGTTGTTTCTTTAGCAATGTACATACTCAACATGTCAGGTATTTCAATTTACAGTCTTTTTTTTGGAACAAGTAGTCCTATGAAACTTAACTAACTTTTACACAGGCTCTTATTTCACTTAAAAGTAGCGATTCTCCGGAACAAAATTGCAATGTCAAGTGACGACTACTCACATGCGCACAGACGTCTGATTATAATTTTAAAGATTCTGATGTATAAATGCAATGTACAACATAAACTAGAGATTAGATATCAAAAGATAGCAACCATTTTTAATTTGTCAAAATCCTTCATAACCCTTGCCTATCTTATCTAATGTTAACAGATACAAATAGATGTTATAACTACATAATGGCAGAAATTCAAATTTGGCATCCTTCCATCTACAAGAAATGAAAGCAGTACACCAACAGTATTTGGTGAGATCAGAGATCATCTGATGCATTTCTTTTGATGGATGAATATGCTGATTCTAAGATGGCAAATTCTGCCAGAAGAGGCATACATGAAGTGGTTCCTCAGTGTTCTTAAAAAATATTCATTCAAGGAATGTGGGCATCTCTAGCTACGCCAGCATTTAATGGTCACCCAAACTGCCTTGCAGGGGTGCTGGTGGCTATCTTCTTGGACTGTTGCAGTCCTTGGAGCATAGGCGCACCCATTGCTATTAGGAAGAGAGTCTCAGGACTTTGACACAGCAACAGCGATAACGACAATTATCTAGTTTTAAGTCAAGATGATGTGTTGTTTGGAGGGACGGTCTTGCAAGAGGTGGTGTTCCCATACACTCACTACCCTTGTCCTTCAAGGCATTAAGAGTTCACAGGTTTACAAGATGCTGTTAAAGGAACTTTGGTGAGTTACAGCAGTGCATCTTGCAAATGGACACACTGTTGCCACTATCTGGTGAATGCTGACGGTGGTGAATAGGGTACCAATCAAGTATACTTCTTTTCCTGGATGATGCTAAGATATTTAAGAGTTTTGTTAAGGCTGTAATCACCCACACAAGCGAGAGTACTCCATCACATTCCTGACTTATGTCACTTAGATGATAGATAAGCACTGGGGAAACAGGAGACAAGTTATTTAGCACAGAATTACAAGCCTCTGATCTGCTCTTGTAGCCACAGTATATATACAGCTGGTCTGGTTCAGTTTCTGGACACTAGATCAGCAACAGTGATGTCATTGAACATCAAGGGGCAATGGTTAGATTTTCTCTTGTTGAGATGTTGACAATCGTACGGCACAAATGTATTTTGTCACTTAATCAGCCTAAGCTGATCCATCTTGAATCTAGGGATTGTATGATTCTAACAACTTGTACTCAGTCCACATGTCCAAGTTTTGATGAGCACAATTATGCTTCCCCTCAAAACGGCAGCTTCATTTGTCACTTGGTTGTTCCATGGGATGACAAGGATGCTTTGTGGACAGCACAGTTTTTGAGTCTTTTCTTGGAAGTTGTAAGTTGTCCAGACTTCACTACTATACAGCAATGTGCTAAGGTATTCAGGCTTTGAAGACAAGTATCATGTTCCTGGACGGCAGTGTGTTGATATTCATAAAAATAAAACACAGAACTTCAGTCATTGGAGATATGAAGCAACAACAAAGTGCTGGAGAAACTCAGCAGGTCTGGCAATACCTGTAGTAAGAATTAACCTTTCAAGTCATGACCCTTTGTCAGAATAGATGATGCCAGATCTGCAGCATTTCTCCAGCATTTTGTGTCTATCAAAGTTGATGGCTGCATTTCATGTTCTAATCTTTTCGTAAAGGCATAGATTGTATGTCATTGGTAGATCAAAGGTAACAGAATTTATTATCTGCTTCCAGTGGTGTGATGTCATGTCTGATCACAAATGGAAACACAACACCCTGTCCTGTAACTACAATTTTCCTGACAGCTGGTGCAGAGGGAAAGCATGACACATTCGGAGGACAGACAATCCTTGAGTTTTGGAGCTGATCTTCTGCCTGGGCGTGTAGTACAGCATTATTAGCATACTGAAATGCTCTGATCAGGACATGCCACATTTTTGTCTTTCAGTCTTCACACAGTTCAGGAGTCTCACATCGTATGTGGAGATATTCTCACTTTCCTTCTCCACGTGAGAAGGGCAAAATCAAGTTAGCAGATAAAAAAGGTACCAGTGTCCAGACTCGGGCATTGTCCTAGTTCACCCCATTCTAGATCTCAAAACTGTCCGAGGTGGCATGCATGTTATCACAGAAGGACATAAAAAGACTCTAAAAACTTGAGAGGCTAGCCGATTTCCTTTCACAGCTGATAGATGCCTACCCTGTTCATGGAATCAAATACTTTAGCGAGATCCACAAAAACAGGTACAGTGGTGTTTGCTGCTCTCTGTACTTCTTTTGAAGTTGACATGGAAGACCAAGTCTGTTGTGATTGACTGGCTCTGAAGCCTCATTGTGCTTCCAGGCATAGTTTGTTGTTAGCTGATAAACCTAGATTTAGGTCAGGATGAATTTAGCACAGGCCTTCCCAATGAGCGAGGAAGGATACATTACCGTAGTTGTTGCTATCCCACTGTTCTTGTCTCATGTGATGTTTGCACCCCCGTATCCTGCAGGACAGAACTTTCTCTCCAGCAGTGGTGTTAATGGCAGTAGAGGTATGACAGCACGTAGGGCTTTATTTACCTGTACAATTCAGTCAATGTCAGTCCTTTCATGGCATTTACCTTGTTATTAATCAGTCAAAAACCTATATGAGTTTACACAGAGTTTAGATATGAGTGTTCCGGAACAGACTCATTCTTGAAGGCTTGCAGAAGATTATCAAACACGTGCAGAAAGACAAGCAGCTCGTGAGTCTATAACATGAAGTTGTAATGCAAATCGACTTGTCTAGAGTATAGGTGGTCAGAAATCATCAGATGCTTTTGCCTTGCACTTGTACTTCAATCTGACAAACATACGTACCCTCTAGAGAAATACACAAACTGCAGTTGCACGATCCACTGCCAAGGTACCATTTCTGACCCCAGAAGCTGGAAGATGACAGTTCCACTCGAAGCAAGTCCCAGAAGGGACAAATGGTAAGATGGTCAGCATATACTGAACTGATATCCAGCAACATGCATATACTCACGGGTGTCTGCTTAATCTGTGGTTAGACTCCTACCATTTTCAGCAGTTGTATTCTTACCCTTGAATCAGAATGGCTGGGTTTATATCCCAATAATAACTTCACCAGTAATCAGTTCATGTAGTAAGAGCTCTGCACAGAAATGCTTTCCACTGGGTGCAGTGGTAATCCTCATCATAAAGGATTGAGTAGGGTAAGGCTAGTTTGGCTTGGGTTGCAGCTTAGCCATAGAATACTTCAAAAGACAAAAACTGTCAAGCTGGCACCAGGAATTCACTTCAGTTACTACCT